GGGGGGCGCAAAGGGGACCCCTTTCAAAAAAAAAAAAAAAAAAAAAAAAAAAAAAAAAAGAACAATCATAAACACAATCAAGGAATTCAATGAATTTAAAGAACACGCAAACAAACAAATCAAAGAGCTAAAGGAAGATACAGATAAACTGAATGAATTCACAAAAGAGATAAAAACATTGAAGAAAACTCGGGCAAAAATGAAGAAGGAAGTACAAAACTCAACTTGAAACAACAGGGGAAAGCCTTACCTCTAGAATGAATGAAATGGGAAAAAGAGTATCAACACTGGAGGATAACATTGAAGAACTGGACCACTCAAGCAAAGAGTATGGAAAATTTAAAAAAAAAACACAGGAATGGAATATGCAAGAGATATGGGGCACCATGAAAAGACCAAATCTACAGATCATAGGAATAGAAGAATGAGAATTTCAGGTTAATGGTACTGACCAGATCTTAAACAGGATTGTAGAAGAGAATTTCCCCAAATTAAGGAAAGACATCCCCATACAAATACAAGAAGCACATAGAACACCAAATAGGATCAGAAAAGAAACTCCCCACTACATATCATAGTAAAAACACCAAATGTACAGAACAAAGAGAGAATACTGAAAGCAGCAAAAGAAAAACAAGTCACATACAAAGGAAAGCCCATCAGAATTACAGTTGACTTATCAATGCAAACTATGAAAGCCAGAAGAGGCTGGACCAAAGTATTTCCATTTCTACATGACAATAGATGCCAGCCCAGAAAACTATACTCAGCAAAAATGTCTACTATAGTTGAGGTGGAAAGAAAAAAATCTTCCATGACATGAATAGCCTGAAAAAATACATGTCCACAAACCCAGCCCTTCAAAGAATACTTGAAGCAATACAGAAAGCAGAGAGAGAAACAACTATACCTTGGGGCAACAAAAGAAAACAAAGAAAGATATAATCTAGGAACCACAACATTACACAAAGAACACAAACAGCAATCAAACCAACCAACACATACCTTTCAATAATAACCTTAAATACACATAGTGAGTTCCAGGACAGCTGGGGCTATAGGGAGACCCTGTCTCAAAAAGACCAAAAAAAAAAGAAACAAAATCTTTCTCTTTGCTGTCTGCAAGAAACCCATCTCACTTTCAAGGACAGGCACTACCTTAAGGTAAAAGGATAGAAAAGAATAATTCAAGCAAAAAAGGGGATACCTTATCTTGAAGACAAAATAGACTTCAAAGTAAAACTAATCAGAAGAGATAAGGAGGGTCACTTCATTCTGATCAACAGAACAGTTAACCAAGAAGATATTACAATCCTTAACATGTATGGACCAAATTCTGGTGCACCCAAACTCATAAAAACAACACTACAGGACTTTAAGACACAGATTAACCCCAACTCAGTAACAGTAGGGGACTTCAGTACCCCACTGTCTCTGTTAGACAGGTCAACTGGACAAACAGAGAGATGTCTGAATTAAATGATACCATATATCAAATGGACCTAACAGACATCTTTCGATTATTCCACCCAAACACCAAAGAATACACTTTTTACTCAGCACCTCATGGAACTTTTTCAAAAATTGACCACACACTGGGCCACAAAACAAACCTCAACAAATATATAAATATTGAAATAATTCCATGCATTCTATTGGACTACAAAGCAATAAGGCTCAAAATCAACACTGGGCCAAGCTCTAGTCACTACACGAACTCATGGTGATTGAACAACACACTCCTAAACAATGAGTGGGCCAAAGGAGAAATTAAGAAAGAAATAAAAGAATTCCTGTAATTCAACAGAAAGGACAATACAACACAACACAACCTCTGGGACACATTAAAAGCAGTCCTAAGAGGGACGTTTATAGCTCTAAGAGCAAATCCAAATAAATCTACCAAAAGCCATATATAGATTCAATGCAATGCCAATCAAAATCCCCATGATATTTTTCACAGAATTGGAAAAAACTATCCTAAGATTCATGTGGAAG